CCTCATCTTTATGTGCCTAAAGCCATCTTTCTTCAATTAGCTTAATGTTTAAATACAAAAGGGTATTTTGTATTTAAAATAGAACCTACACCTGACTTTAGGAATTGAACTTGACATGAAATAGAGTTGATTCAGATAGCCTTCTCTTGTGTATGTATGTGTGTGGGGGGGAGGGGTGTTGAACTCAAAGCCTGGGTACTATCCCTGAGCCTTTTAGCTCAAGGCTAGCCCTCTACCACTTGAGACAAGTATTCACTTCCAGGGTTTTTCTTCTTTTTCCTGTCTGGGCTGGCTTTGAACAATGTCAGCCTCCTCAGTAGCCAGTGTTACAGGTATGCCCAGCTAGCCTTCCACTCTTCAAAGACAAAGCTACTCAGGGATATGGTGATGTGGAACACATGCTAGTCTATATACTTCATTAACCAATCTTTTGAGACCATTAAGAGTTCTTCAATTCAAAGGGAAAAATACATGAAACTAAATTGGAGTTAAATATATATATTTAAAACAAATGTGTTTTTTTCAGCTTAAACTCATTGGTTTTTATTCATATGAAATTGTGATTGCCACCTATCTTCCATGAAGCATATTCTAATTTTTTTTTTCCAAAATGGTTATAGAGTTCCCAAAGCAAATAGGACAAGCAGTGTCCCCAAAGCCAAGGAATCGCTATATTGTGTGATGTCTGTCCTTCACTTTGCTGTGGCGCGTCTGACAGAACTTATACACCTATCTCCTGCTTCAGCCCCCAAAACAAAATATCTGACCCTGGTCTTCCAAACAGCCACAGTATGGACATGGGAAGTCAATATCTACTCAAGATACTTTATAATTATAATTTTATAATTTTCTGGGTCATAATTGACTGCTAAGCACTTCAGGTGAATTTCTAGAGAGTAACTTCTAGTTCTTTTAGTCCACCTGATTCACAGATATACCTGAGGAGAGGTCCAAAGCCTTCCTCCCTGGAAGATACTCAAGGTTCGTAACCTTCATGGTATTCTTCACTTTATGTCTGCATATTTTTCCCCCTTTGGCTCTGGAGGTCTAACCTACAAATCACCAGACCAATGACAGAAACTGGAGTGAACCATAACTCTACATACTCTACAAGGACCCTCATCCCCACTTCTAAAAGTAATGACAAGTGATACAGAACTCTCCATCATGAGGCAAACTGTTTCCTCTGATGACCATCAGAAGACTACATCAAATATGCCTTAAGCTTGTTATACCCAGCTTGAGTTCCTTCTGCCTCATTTGGAATCTCACATCTCTCTGCATTTCTGTAAGATTCAATCAATGGATTAGATTTGGTAGATGTGAGGGCCAAAGACTTAAACCATTCGTTTCTTCAAGAAAATGTTTGTTCATACAACTAAGTTTTCATCCTATCTGTAACATTTCTTCTTTTTAACTCTAAAATGGGTTTCTTGCTTTCTAGTTTTACCTGTGCTGTAAACTTAAAAAGTTCATGAAGACAAACTCTTCTGAGAGTCCCTGAAGACTCACCTGCTAATTCCGTACCATAGGCCTCTTGAAGTGAGTTTACTGTCTCTATGGAAATAGAATTTTCATTGGGATTCTATAACAGAATTCAGTATCATCCAATTAAGTCTAGAGGCTTTTCAAAGCACACTTTTCATTTCCAGGTAGTTGTTCTTCGTGTTAAAACTTTAACTGTAAACTTCATTAAACATGGCCATCACTTAATAAAAACCTGAGACAGAGCCAATTGCTAGTAGCTCATGCTTGTAATCCTAGCTACTTAGGAGGCTGAGGCCTGAGGATCACAGTTTGAAATTAGACCCAGTAGGAAAATCCATGAGACTCTTAACTCCAATTAAGTACCAAAAAAGCCAGAAAGTGAAGCTGTGGCTCACATGATAAAGTGCTAGCTAGCCTTGAGCAAAAAAGTTTAGGGACAGTACTCAGGCCTTGAGTTTAAGCCCCAAGACCAGCATAAACAAAACCGGAAACAGCACAATAAAATCTCATTTACCTGGAGATATGCTTTCTAGAACATCTTGCATGCAAGCAATGTTTTCTGACCCAAAACAAGTGAAAAATTGACTTTGGCAGCAGACTGAAGATTCTTGTGTGCCAAGGAACAATGTCAACCTTAGATTACTGAAGAGAAGCTTGTGTCCTAGGAATAGCCAGTTCAGAGGAAGGCTGGCTGATGACCATGCTAAGAGGCAGCCTATCTATGGGCTAAAGCCGAGTAGAGCTGGAAGTGACAGGACTGAGAAAGAGATGAAGAAATGGTCCCAATGGCATCACTGAGTCACAATAAAGAAACTCAGATTTGAAGCATGCAAAGGTTCAGAAAAAGACAGAGACCCAACCAATTCACTGTCCCAAACCACCTATTTCCACTCATCTGTTCTACAGTTTCTAACACTCATAATCATTATAAGCTCAAGAAACATAGGAGCTGTAATTTTTAGTAGATTCTCTTTAAGAGAGTACAATGGTTTGTAGAATGGTATTCCACAGACAAGGGGAAGGTTAAAAACTCCTTGTAACCTTCAATTGTTCAGAAACCATCTACCCAGAGGCCCTCTCTCCTAAATGGCTTTATAGACTCAATTCATTTCAGGGCCAACCTGCTCTCACCTCCTCTCTTGCCTATGCCTGCTTGCAGACACTGTCTTCAGACCCCCATTGCACCTAGCTTCATCAGGATAAACTTTCAAGTCATTTTCCTTCAGGGTGGCCTAGGGCTTGGCTGCTTTCTCAAATGTTCCTACAGGAGATGATGGATTTTTCCCTACCCACACATAACAAGGTTTCAGGGGAAACAGCTCCTGGCTTGGAGCTGTGGCTCTTACTACATGGCAGGGTGGGGCAGGGTAAGAACCATTCCTTGATAATGGCACAATGCTTATCCTGGAGGTTCAGCTTTTTGACCTCACCCACTGCTTCTTCCTTTTAACTTAAAACTTCTTTAACTTTGCCTATCAGAGGAAACTGCCTCACTTCAGCTCACTGAAGCTCGGCCTCAGCAAGAGGTTTTAGTCAGCTTTAATTCTGTGCCGCTTCTCAAAAATGACAGCGGCCTGCCAGGCGCCCAGTAGGGCACGCCTGTAATCCTAACTACTTAGGAGGCTGAAATATGAGGATCACAGTTTGAAGCAAGCTGGGGGTAGGAAAGTCCATGAGAGTCTGATCTCCAATGAACCACCAAAAAAGCCAGAAGTGGAGGTGTGACTCCTCCTTCTCTCCTCCCCACGCCTCATCCCCCCCCCCCAAGCTTCTATGACTCTGTCACAGTACAATTCACTTTTCTCTTATACATTCACCCAAGTTAAATTTAACAATGGTTCATCAGATATTTCTGATAATCAAATGGAAATGCCTATGGCAGATATTGTGGGGTATAAACTTATGGAAGATTTGTATTTCTTTTACAACATTATTTAAAAACTTTTTTTACATTGAATGCTTTGTAAAGTTGGAGGAAAAATATTTTTTAAAAAGAAAAAATGACTACAATTGGATTTTTTTCTTTGGTTATAAGACAAGCCATATAGAGAGATGCCCATTTTTTTTACCCTATACTCTGCACTGCCATTGAGGCTACCTCCCTACCTTGTAGTAATAACAACCAGGAACATGCTCTAGATTTATGATTCCAGCAAGATGAAAACAAACATTTGGAAGAAATAAAAAATGGCCATGCTGTAGGTGTGCAAAGATGTGTAAAAATAGCCAGGTGCTCTCTAGATAGTCACATGCAGTGAGATAAAAAGGATATTCTTAGGAGTGGAACACAAAGGTGAGATGTTTATGTGCATCTGATCATATAAAATACAGTGATGCCTCACTTATCCCAGGAATTATATTCCAGAGACCCCCATGATAGTTGGATCTGTGAAGCAGTAATGTCATACAGCCATCCCTTACTATATTGTGGCTTACTTGTTGCTACTTTGCAGATTTTTCCCTATCTGGAATGTAACTCCCGTGGTAGGTGAGGGATCACTATGTATATGTATTTTTTAAAAACCCATGATATAGTGAAGCTGCAATAAATGAACTGTGATATAGTGAAGGACAACTGTAATATTTATTGGTTGAGAGACTCAATGATTTCTGCCCCAAAAGTAGCTATGCAACCCAAGTGGGTGACAACAGCCTGTACAAGAAGTGGTCATGAAAGTGTATGCTCTCTTTAGGCTTATGAAGAGGGTAGCCTATACTTTGCCAAATAGGCATAGGGATCAAAGTACATATTAAAGACAAAAAGCCCTCTTTTAAAACACATTAATTCCTCATGATATTAACTATAAACACCAATGTATCAAGTAGTAACAAATGTTGTTTAAGGTAGTTAAATTTTGAATATATTTTGTGTATAGAAAAACATCAAGAGATATCTTAGAAGTTACTTAGAGTTAAGAGTTTCCCTGTATTTATCTATGGATGAGCTAAGATTTCTAATAAGTGATCTATCACTTTATAATGATAAAAAGCCAAGTGGGAATATAATTATAAAAAAATAAAGTACTCTCAAAGTTTCTTATGTGAAAGCTGCTTGTGAAAATTTTGAGTATGAATTCTAATATATTAATAAGATAATATGCCAATAACTGGCCCAAGTAACTGAAATTGTGCAGGTAAAGTGAACAAGCATATAAAAGTCACGTCTACTAAAAATGATTATTAGGGAATACTAAAACAGCAAAGCTATCAGTGCTTACTATAGCAGGTCAGCCAAAACAAACTGGTACAGAATATGTATTACCAAACAGAAAGTGTAACTTAAAAGTAACTTATAGCAAAAACACATAAAGCAATTACAACACACAGAGCCATCAACCTTGGCATACTTGTTATATAAGTAAGGAACGATTTGTGTTAATCTTAGAGATAAAGATAAGTAAAGTATCAGGTGTAAAGCACCTCATACCCCTAATAAAAGGTGTTATGTCTAATAAATAGGGGTCTGAACAGTGGACAGAGGCATCAGAAGAGAAGCAGAAGGAAACACGTACCGTGCAAATATGAGGCCAATGTTCAAACTGTTGTAAAATTCCTTGATTAAGGTCTTCTTTATATAACTCTTTGTAAAAATGAGGAAGCTTAGATATCCAAACGCCATTGTTATGCTTGTTTAATATTTCCTTTATACGATTTTGAACCTCATCCATTTTATAAGAGGCAGGAGGTGTGACATTTGGTTTTTCAACCGTCTGATTTATATTATCTTTAAATAAAAAAATGATAGAATTAACCAAAATGTTTAACATTTTAGCTTGTCCCCGTGACCTAGCATTTGTGTCTTTACTACTCTATGGGGCCAAAGGTTTTAGAAGTTGGCAGGATTCAACAAAACAGCAGAGGACAACTTTGTTCTATTATCCCTCATCTAACCATCCTGGCCAAGAGACCTCCAAAGAGTGTTCATTTTGCAAAGATGCTTTATAGTCTACACATCAGCATGACCTTATAAGGTAAAGAATAAGTTAATCATTTAGTAATTTAATCATTTAATAATTTTCACCAACAAATAAGGGAAACTTTAGATAATGTTGATATGCTTGCAATGTTAAAGCTATATTCCACAAAGTATAAGAATGCCTTAATAGTAAGGCCAAAGAACATTTTACAGAAGATAGAAAGTTGTCCAGGTCTTCAGATTATGATCATTTTACTTATGAAAATAACTTAGCAACATGCAGTAGTTCAAAAAATGATTCAGTCACAAAAATAAGGGTTATAAGCCAGAATAAAAGGTTTAGAAACCACAAACAAGTAATGCTGATATATTTTATATTTTGATTTCCCCAGTACTGATCTCTCATCAGTGTACATTTATAAAGTTTTAGCTACCTTCCTTGCATTAAAAAAATTTAAAACCTGGAGTATCTGAATTCATATCCTAAGACAAACAATTTGAGTATTCACTAAAGCTGGTATTCTGGTATTTTTGGTTCTGGTATTTTAATAACTATAAAATTAATTCTAAACTCCTTCAAAATTCTACTGGGATACAGATCAGGGTATATTAAAAATTGCTATGTATGTAAAAATATATTTGTAATTTAATCTCACACTATCTCTGCTAGGACTCCATCATTTTTATCTTGTTTTAAATTGGTTGGCAGAGACATAGTGTCTACTTGGGGAACACTGGTCTCTCAGGATGCCAGTAGCCAAAGAAGAGTTTCTCTCACAGAAGCTGGGATACTGACTCTTATCTTCCCACCAGAGGGTATAAAGATATGGCCTGGGCAGACCTGGACTAACGTGGGGAACAGAAAGTTTTCAAACATCCATTTGCATTTCCTACTAAGGGCTCATGTGGTTTACTGGGGATAAAAGGACTAGGAAGGAGGAAATGATAAGCCTCTCACATCTAGCCAGACTCTCCTTAATGACAGTGTGTTACCTACCGGTTGACTCAATCTGGAGTCTGCAAACACAGTTTAGCATCTGGAGTCACCTAAGCTCTTATACCTTTCGATGAACCAATGGAGGAAGGAAGTCTAGACTGCCAGCATGTAGAAACGTTGTATATATGTGTGGGCATTTCAGCTGTGGTGGGGGTACTGCATATTCTCCTGAAATACATTCTCTTGTTTCTGAAGAAAAAGCTTATGCTAATTTAAGCCTCTAGAACTGTGTAGTCACAGTTCAGAAAGTGCATATGTAAAGATAATTCACATTTTTGTTCAGTTATTCTTATTCTTATTATTTTGCTGGTCCTGGGGTTGAGCTTGAGGCCTGGGCACTTGGGTCCTAGAGCTTCTTTATTGCTCAAGGCTAGTGCTTGTGCCAAAGCTCCACTTTTGGCTTTTTGGTTATTTATTGGAGGTTAAGAGTCTCAGGGACTTTTCTTCCCAGGCTGGCTTTGAACCTTGATCCTCAGCTCTCAATCTTCTGAGTAGCTAGGATTACAGGTATGAGCTACCAGCATCATTTAGTTTTTTAAATAAGAAATACTGGAAGTGATTTTTTTATATATAAAAAAAGAACTTTAACTCAGCCAGAATCATAATGAAAGCCACAAAGAATAGAAAGTCGTGTGTGCACCTCACACACCACAAGCACTCACTCTGCACGCGCCCTCTGGCTGTGTCCATAGCAGGAGATGTGCACACTGGTCAGAGAAAACAAGATGATGAGTGGGTCAGTTTCTGAGCTGTACATTCTTTGACTTCATTGTGTGTCTTATTGTTTAACAGCCCTTTCAAATTTTATAACTTGAAGAGTTAGGTATACTCCTACTATTCAGATAATACAGTATCACTACACACATTTTAGAGACCAATTTTTCAGCAGTGGGACACATGAAACTCTTTTATAAACTTAATGTGCTTCTAATCTACAGTAGGGAGTTTCTTCAAGTAGGGCCTGAGGCTGCAAGTTTTGAGGGCTCAACCTCCTTAGGATTTGTGAGGAGGCCACATGGAGGTGAAACAATAGGTCTACTATGAGGAAGGCCTCGTCAGAATAGTCATAATATCCTTGGAAATATGATTTCCTCTAAAGAACACTTGAAGTCATGATTTAAAGGAATTAGAAGTAGGAGAAGAAGCTGGGCACTGGTGGCTCACGCCTGTAATCCTAGCTACTCAGGAGGCTGAGATCTGAGGATTGAGGTTCAAAGCCAGCCCAGGCAGGAAAAGTCCATGAGAATTCACCCCTTATCTACAATAAACCACCACAAAACCAGAAGCGGTGCTGTGGCTCAAGTGGTAGAGCTGAAGAGCGCAGGGACAGCACCCATGCCCAGAGTTCAAGCTCCACAACTGACAAAAAAAAAAATAAAAAAAGAAAAAATAAAAGAAAAAAAGTAGTAGGAGATGAGAAGTAGGACTGCCAAAGCCTACCACTAGATAGATACTTTACTGGGGGCCCTGAGGATTCAGAAGCGAGTATGTATCAAGAAGATGTTTGGAAAACATACCACTCACTTCCTTATTACAGGCTGAGAGATGCATCTGGAAAGGTTGCGGAAGGGATGCCTTCGGGCTAAACCTAGGGTATAAAAGAATACCAAGTTTTAAACACTGTATTTGCCACTTAAAGCCTCTGTGGTATTGAACAATGAAAGAAGTCATGAAAGTATTCAAAAATCAGAAAAATGGAAATGAAATCTAGTATTATCTTCCATATCTACCCAGAGGAAAGTATGTTAAAGATAGCTTCAACTTAGCTGAGTATTTGAAAGCCCCTTTCAGAGCCTGCAAGTCAGACTTATAACTTATTACCTGTACAGTGTTAGCAAAATAGAATAAATAAATGCAAGGAATAAATAGCTAGGCCAGGAGCTAGTGGCTCACGACTATCATCCTAGTCTCTCTGAAGCTGAAACCCAGAGGATCAAGGCTTGAAGCTAGCCCCAGCAGAAAAGTCTGCAAGATTCCAACTCCAATTAACCAGCAAAAATGCTGGCTTGGAGGTGGTTGAAGTGGCAGAGGGGCAACTATGAAAAAGAAAACCCAGCTAGAGTGCAAGGCCCTAAGTTCAAGTCCTGGTAAATAGACAGTTGTAAATAAAAATATATAATATATAAAGAATATAACAAAAAACAAAAGACTTGATGTTGAAATACATCATAAAGTTACATTTAAAATAGCTGAGTGTGTAAGTAAAACAGAAAACTTACAAACAATAAGTTTATATTTTATCTTGGCATACCACAAAATAGTACTTCAAACCAGATCAATATTTCAAAGCAGTAACACAGATGGTGCTCAAGTACCTATTTTGAAAAGAAGAAACCGATCTCCACACCATTACTACAATAATTATGTAAGATTTATGATGGGGACTATATAGGTAGATGTCTCTAAATATGAGGGCAAAGAAATACATGTATATGTGTACGCATACACACATATACCATTTATGTACAGAGTCTTTCCCTTACTAGATACCCTTCATTATTCGTGTTCCTTTGGCCTAGATAGTACTTGGTACTTCAAGGGAGAAAAATCATGTAAGAATGATCAAATGAATCATGATTTGATGAATCAATGAGTACATTTTTACCATGCAAAATACGTATTTCCAATTTCTGAATAGTTTGGAACACTAAAATTTAATTAGATCAATTCTTTAAAATGAAGCACATTTCTTGTCTTTTTTCTTTCTTTTTTATGGTTGGTTGTGGGGCTTGAACTCTGAGCCTGGGCGCTGTTCCTGAGCTCTTCAGCTCAAGGCTAGCACCCTACCACTTGAGCCATAACACTGCTTCTGGTTTTGTGGTGGTTTACTGGGCTTTCCTGCCTGGGCTGGCTTTGAACCTCAATCCTTAGATCTCAGCCTCCTGAGCAGCAAGAATTACAGGAGTGAGCCAGTTGTCTGGCATTTCTTATATTTTAATTGTAAAAAATTACTGATGTGGGCTATTTAGTACATGCAATTACAAAAGCATATCTGTATATTTGTTCATGAGTAAATAACTGAAGATGTGAAAATACATCAAACTTTTCTACCAAACTTTTAAAAAAGTAATTTTTGCACTGGTTATGTGGCTTAGTGGTAGAGTGCTTGTCTACCATGCATAAGGCCCTGGTTGAATTCCTTGGTATCACATACACAAAACATAAATAAAATTAAAAAATAATTATTCCTAAAATTATAGTATTTGGAGTAAAAAATGTATGTTTGCATGAAATGGACTTTGTCAACACTGACCTAAAGGAATTTGGTGCTATAAGTCTGTAATAAAAAAAAATAGTGTAAGGAAGAAGACTGAGATATTGACTCATCTACATTAGTATTGAAAATACTTTTTCTGGGAAGGGGTAACAGGTGCCTTTCAGGTTTTGCAGATCACCAAGACCCTATACCACCATTTAGCCAGTCATTGGGTGGGTACACAGTAGCCATGGGCAGCATGTGAACAGGATATGGCTACATTCCTATAAAACTGCATCTACAAAACAGCAGGAAGCTTGAGTTGCTCATAGATGGTAGTTTGCCGACTCCTAAACAGCTCATAAAGCCCTAAACTTTAGAGACAGAAAGGAATTTTGACATGTTTACTTTCACAATTTTATTGGACCAAATAAGGACATTATCATCCAAAATATGAAATACTTTGTTTCACCTGGCTAGTAAATGGCAGTACTCAAACTAAGACGTAACGTTGACTGGTTTCTAGCCCAGGACTCCTGTACATGGATGTCTGATGCTACTGCATACTTATGGGCATGAGTACTAAAGAAAGAGGGAATGGATAACTGGGTAAGATCTTATTACAAAATTTACAAATGATGAGGTTTTTTTTTAAATAAAGGGTTATATTTCACAGTGAAACAGCATCTTAGAATAAACTGCAAGAATTTTTAGAGTGAATTTTACAAGGAGAGATGATCAATATTGTAGAGAAAACCCAAAATGGATATCCATCTATTCTGACAGTGGCACTCGGGAAGCCAGGAAAAGTAGATCTACTGCCAATGACACATTTTCTAGAACATGTAAACTTACATTAAATACAGTAGAAAGTCTTGATTGAAATATACATTTTTTTAGCACTTATTATCCTAGGTTCACCACGCTTCTCCTTTTAGTCAGATAAAGCCAAGATACCTGTTATTGGTAGGCATGCTCACATGCCTCTGCATTGGAATGTCTCTGAATACTTCATTTCCAAGAGTCGTATGTACTGGGTAAGGTGGCATTTCAGCATCAGACTTAACTCCAAAAGCATTTCCTCTGTCTCTTAACAGTGCTGGATTAGGTTTTTTGCCAATAGAAAACTCCGAAGCAAATCCTGGTTGTCTGAGTGTTGCCTTTGGTTTTCCTATGAAGTTAGGCATATATAATAGAATCAATTGGCCTCTCCAAGCCCTGGTTTCATTGTGCCATTCCCAGTGTTTTCTGTGGGACTCTATTCTATGAATAGCCTGCAAGAATAACAGAGCCCCTGAAGGGCGGATGAGTAGGGGAAGGAGAGACTGGACTATATTCGCAGATGAAGTTCTACGACTGGCAGGCTAACCAGTTCTTACCTACTCGGCCCCTACACTTCTGTGGCAGCCACTATTATAAAGGACAGCATGATCCTCCTGGCAGGAGGATCAATCCATACCCTGACAGGAGAGATTTCCCCTCTGCCATGAAGCCTTCCATTTCTGCTCTTGCTCCCAGTTTCCTGGCTAAAAATGCTCACCCTGGCACTGAGTTGTTTTATCAATGAACTATTTCTTGAGAATTTCATTTTAGAAATGACTGCTTCTCAAGATACGCATTCAGTAAAGAAAGGATGAGTTGTCTGTAACAATTTTTCATACTATGTAATTAATATTTTTCTAAAAACAGAGGGTCTTATATCAAAAGACACAATTTGCTAAGCAAGACATTAAATCACAGGTTCTTGGTTCACTCAAAATTCTGGGTGTGGCTTATCAAATAACCTGAAAGAGTAAAAGCACTTTGCCATCATAAACAGTTAAAATCTGCCATTTCCAACTGTGTAACTGTTTTGCTTTGGGTAAGTCACACTCTTCATGTTCACTAACATTTCAAATGTAAATCTTAGCTTCAGGAATTTTCTCCTTATTGTGGATATAAGCAGCATTTCCATAATTCCTGTGATATTATATTCAGGGGCTTAAAATTTTAACATACGAAAAGATCTACCTTCTAGAAAAAATGGCATGGTTTTCTTTACTCTCATCTGACAATTAACTTGCCGCCCGGTTTTCCTTTTAGAGCTCCTCTGCCGAGCCACTAGCTGAGCAATCCTTGCAGTTTCTGTGCAGGCCACAGCATAACAGGTAATCTGTTCAAGAGGGACAAAGTGAGAGGGAGATATTTCTTAGGCCCAGGGTTACCAAGAGACCAGTTTCTGAAAGTGAGTCTTAAGTGAGCCCACACATGCCAAATCGAACTATATACAAATGTTCATTTACCTCACTCCTTGACAATGTAGATGCAAAATCAGATTTACTGCAAAATGTAGTATACCAAATGATCACCTTGCAAACTGAAATTTATCATAAACACATATTTACTAAACATCTACAGTGTACTAATAGAATGCAATTATCAAAGGAACTAAAATAAAACTGTGATCTGCATGTGTTATCTCACAGAATCCATGAGATCTATTTGATCCCCATTTTACACATGGAGCAGCAGAGGCTCAGGAAAGCTGGATAAACTTCCAAGTCACACAGTGAAGCTAGCCTTGGGAATTTTCAGCTTAACAGGCTTGCTTTAGACCTGGAGTTTCAACTAGGTTCATTAGAGCTACAAAATTCCAAAGGGATCTCAAAAGGTCCCACAGGCAAAGGTATGAGAACAAGGCATGACACACACACCCCTAAATAAAGTACCTGCTTAAAACACAGGGGCCCGATTTATTACTATTGACTGAAAAGTTGTTATGACAGTATATAGGATATAAGAGAAAAATATGTATAGTGTGTAGATTAAAGGAATTAGATGTTTTTCAGGACTTTAAACTGAAATGGAGAACAGGAAAACAATGGTGTTTTACACTACTGTCCTCTTTGGCCCAGGCTTTTGTTCCTGAGAATATAATTCAAAGGAAGAGTGTTACCTAGTCAGTATGTTCAGTAAGGGATTATATTAATAGCTAAAACTCAGAAACATTTAAAATGTCCCAAATTGGTGAGCAAAATTTAAGTACTTCATGGTACAGAAGTACTTGATGCATTATTAACTTATTCATTTGGACATTGGGTCTTCATGCATTCAACATGGATTTATTAAGTCAACTATGATGGGTAAAAAGTGTCTTTCATCCTCAAGAAACTTAGGAAGGAAAAAAGAAGGAAAGGGAACTAAATAGAAAATATCATGTCAAGTGTCCCACAGATGTGTTACAAGGTGCACATAAAAAGGAGGATTAAACCTGTCTGGGGGGAATAAGTGATGGTATTTTCCTACTAATATTTTTAATTAACTTTTATCCTCGCCATAGCATTGCTGATCTCAAAGTACTTAGCTGGTACTTTTCTACTACTGGTATGAAAGTCCCAAGTAGATGTTTCTAAATCAGTTTGATTCTTCGTACATGCACAATTGCCTACTTACCTCTCCAGATCTACTAGTCTCTATTCTGACAACTGCTGGCACACTTCTCAAATAGGCTTCTAGAGTAGGGTAACCCAGCTGCTTGAAGGGGATCCAGTCTCCAGTCAAGGATCGGTATTCTCCTTGCAGCCGGGGTAATGCTATCCCATTCTTATGAGACTGCAGAACAGCCCGCAGCATCTTTGAAACCAGGTCTGCTTCCAGCATCTTCCCCTGTAGGAACATTGGCTGGTTACTATATGATGGCTCATTACTCTGAATGCAAAGAGACTTTCAGAGTTTAAGCTTGTTAGATTATAAATAGTGAATATTTCCTGTGTTATTGACAAAGCTGGGGAAACTATGATGGTAGGAAAACATAGTGAACCATGAGAATGTAGAGAGAAACTTGGAAAGGCATTGAGATGCACTGAGATGAAAGACTTTAGGGACTGTTCCCAGACCACAGGAAGCCTAGGAGTCTTGATAGCAAGATGGAGTCAGGCAAGCCTGGAGAAAGAGGGTAGGCTGTGGGTCTAGAGAGAACAGAAAGTGCAGAGGCATGGATGTAGGAGAGAAAGACATGGATTCAGATAATTCTAGGCAGTTATGTAGTTGGACATGACTGGTTGAGACTCTTAAGCTGAGGGCTATGGGAGGAACTAGAGTAGTGGGAAATGGGCAGGCTTGGAAACAGACACATTATGCTAATAGTTTGTATTTTTTTCAAAAGTAATATGGGGCTTTAAAAAAGTTCCAATTATGAAAAGAGAATGATTAGCTCTGATTTTGAAAGACCACTATTCAGCACTGGGGAAGGTAAGTTAGAAGAACTTCTTAAGGCTGCAAAACTTCTTGGAAATGAGGAGGATTTGAAAATAGGTTTTAGGAATAAACAAAAAGTTGGAGGATAATTAAGAAGTAGAATCCTTAGGAATTAATTGGCATGAAGGCTGAGGTGGGCTCCTAAGTTTCCTACTAAGAAACATGGGGGACCGTAATAATGCATGTGGAGTGGATGCAGATTTACAAGAGAGGAAGAGAGCAGATTCATTTTAGACATGTAAAGGCTCATAGGATAGCCATGTACATATGTGCAGTAGGAACTTAGGTTAGAGGCCATAGATTTACCGTCTTCTGCCTACAGGGAGACAGGATAGGGTAAACAGTGGACATATGTGGAAGGTTGTCATTTGGAAGCATGGACACACAAAAAAAATACCTACAAGATGTTCAAATTTAAGACATATAAAATGAGTTATGTCTAAGATTTGAAAAATATTCTCATATAATCATTACCATTATTAAGGTATTTCCATCAGGAACCAAATTGTTCCCTAATATATGTAAAAGTAGAACATATAACATCAAAAAGCATGAGAGGAAAACTACCACTGGAAGGTAATTATACTATCTATAATAAGTATAATAAGTAAATATTATTATTTGAATATTATAAAAATGTACCTAGGGGCTGGGAATGTGGTTCAGTGGCAGAATGCTTGCCTAGCATGCATGAAGCCCTAGGTTCAATTCCTTACATAGAAAAAGCTGGAAGTGGCACTGTGGCTCAAGTGGTAGAGTACTAGCCTTGAGCAAAAGAAGCCCAGAGCTAATGCCAGGCCCTGAGTTCAAGCTCCAGGACTGGCAATAAATAAATAAAATAAACTCACAAAATTATTAAGAGGTAACTAATAAGCCAGTGGTAAAGATAAAATTGGATAAAACAGAATATAATACAAATAGAATATAAGCTGAAAAAGTAGGGAGAAAAAAGAGAAGATAAAAACAAAAATATAGGGAAAGTAGAAAAAAGCTAGCAAAATAGTAGATTTAAAGCCAACCATACCTAATACATTAAATGTAAATAACTGAAATATCCCAATAAAAAGGTAGAGATTGGTAGACCAGACATAAAAGTAAGCATTATCATCATAGGTTAAAAGTCAAAATATAGAAAAAGATATGCTGTGCAAATACTATGACCATATTAATATCAGAACAAAGGCTATTACCAGGGATAAAAGAGACATTCTATAATGTACATGGAGTTAACCTCCCTAAGTGTGGCAAGATTTAGGTGAGAGAGCTAAAAAAAAAAAAAAAAAAAAAAAAACACACTCAAACTTGAGAGCTGGAAGTACAAAGGATATAGGATTCCAAACTCCCTTCCTAATAATTGATAAAACCAGTAGGTAGAAAAATCACTAAGGTTATAGAATAGCTGAACAGCTATGTTCAACCAGACTGACCCAACTGGTCTCACTGGAATGTCTTACTCCAAGAAGAGTAGAATTAAGATGCTTTTTAAGAACACATGAAAATTTTACCAAAACAATTTATTTTTGGACTAAAAACATATGGGGGGGAAGCAAAGGAAGGGGTGACATGAATAAAAAATGAAATGTATTAATTTGCCTGACTTACAAAATGGTAAACCCTCTGTACACCTTAATAAGAACAATATAATTATATTAAAAACCAACACTCAACCAATGTCAAAATAACTGAAGCTATAAAAGTAATATTCCGTGACCTGGAAAAAGTCATTAGGTACCAGTAACAGAAAGAGATTCTAATGTTTCTCAGGTATTTGCTAAATTCTCAATAATCAAAAACATCTGAAAAAACTTACAACATGAATATATAATACATAAAAACTTTCCGAGTGCATTAAGAATATTAGGGGAATATTTATAGCATTATATTTTATGTCATGCTATGTTACAAAGAAAGATATTAAGTCAATGATCTAATCTCCTACCTTCAAAAAAGAAAAGTAAATTATATCAAAGCAAGTAGAAGGAACTAAAGAGGTAAGCAGAAATCAATATGGGAGTGATGAAACAATAATAATAGAATTAAAAACAACAATATCCTAAATTTGAAGCTCATTCTTTGAAAACATCAATAAAATGGGTAAGACAAATTACCACAATAGGATTGAAAGAGGGACTATTAGTACAGATCCTACAGATATATTTTTTTTTAAATATTGTTTTCAATGTGCTATGTTTCTTTTTTCTTTTTGTTTTTCCCCCTATGGTTTATCCCCTGTTGTCACTGTATTCGATTTTGGTACCATGGGTATATGTGTTTATCTGAACTAGAGAAGAGAAGGGGAACAACAAAGTGGTAAGGCAAAGGACAAAGGGGGAACGTATGTCACAGCAATACTCACAAGACACCATGTTGGAAATGATCTGTACAACTTGTAGGGAGAACTGGGGGAGGGAAAAAGGGAGATATGTGAGGAAGGGGGTAACAAGTTAGACAAGAAATGTAATCACAGAAGTGGCGCTGTAGCTCAAGTGCTAGAGAGCTTGCCTTGAGTTGAAGAGCTCAGGGAAAGTGCCCAAGACCAGAGTTCAAGCCCCACAAATGACAGAAAAAAAAAATCAAGAAATGTAATCACTACCTTACTTATATAACTATAATTCCACTCTACTCACCTTGACAACAATATTAAAATAAAAAAGAAATAAATAAAACAAAAAATAATAAAGGAAAACAAGTTAGGCCAATACATTTGATAAATGAAATAAATGAATAGATTCATTTACAGACACCAATTTCAAAGCTTACTCAAGAAGAAATAGATAACCTCAATATTCTTACATTTCCTAAAAGAATTAATTTATTTTTCTTACCTGGGCTTCACAAAAGGAAAGCTCAAAGCCCAGACTGCTTTATTAGCAAATTCCACCAAACTTTATAGAAGAAATCCATGCTACTCTTTCATAAGACAAAATGAAGGAAACACTTCTAAACTCATTCTATGAGGCCAGCATGATACTTACACTAAAAACCAGAAAAAGACACTTTAAAAAGACACTTTATCTCCTATGTGACTACAAAAATATCTAATCCTAGAAAATCAAATTAAACAATAAACAGGAAAGTTAAGCATTAAGATTTATTCTAGCCGGGCACCAGTAGCTCATGCCTGTAATCCTAGCTATTCAGGAGCTAAGATCTAAGGATTGTGGGCAGAAAACTCCATGAAGCTCTTATCTCCAATAAACCACTCAAAAGAGCCAGAAGTGGCACTGTGTCTCAAGTTGTAGAGCACTAGCCTTGAACAAAAGAAACTCTGGGACAGTACCTAGGCCCAGAGTTCAAATCCCAGCACTGGCCAAAAAAAAAAAATCTATTCTAGAATGCAAGGCTAACTCAACAAAAGGAGGTAAAACCATATGTTCATATCAGTGAAAAAACAGAACAAAATTCAAAGTCCCTTTATCATTAAAAACTTTCAGAAAACAAGAACAAAAGGAAACATCCTTAGCCTAATAAAGGCAATCTATGTAAACTCATAGCTAACATCATATGTAACAGAGAATAAATGCTCTTTCCTTGAGATTGGGAACAGAGGAAAAAATGTTCATGCTCAAACTCCTACCCATTGTCACACTGAAGTTCCTCACCAATACCATAAGGTTCAAGACCTGCTACAAAACTGCAGTAACCCAAAAGTGTGATACTGTCGGTAGAAGAGAACATATGTTCAATAAATATATTATTTCCTAGAATGCATAATCCAAATGTCAACTGGTATTTAACAGGTATTTGAGGGCTGCCCAACACAAAAGCCTTCACCTTCCTCCTCCATCAAGAGAATAATCTTCTGTCCCATTCCTAAAATGTCCTCATCTAAACTTCCTTATTTCTCAAACAGCTATCAGAAGGAATTTTCCCAAGTAGGGCAATTAATCTAGGAACAAAGTGAAGGCCACACTCAGACCCTAAGTCACTGTGGAAGTCAATAGTAGGAATAGTAGTGTTCTCTTTGAATATATCTCTTTCCTTGAGGCTGTAGGCTCTGCCAAGACACAGGTAGATGTTTTATAACTTGTATCCTTTTATCCTTTTGCTCCAAGACTTGATTATGTTTCTTGTAGATACAAAGAATGTGATTTCCACTAGAGTCCATATCCAAATATGCAGATGCAAAGCCATCTGAGGTGAAGCTGTCCCATATATACTGAAGGAATAGAGAACATTGGGCTGCTGGGATCCTGGTTATGACTTTTGTATTGGGTATCCAGGGAAGGTGTTGCTGAGAAGGTGGTATATGAACAAATACCTGAGGAAGGTGAAGTGGTGAGCCACATGGACCCCTGGAATAAGGACTTTCTTTCCATCTACGCTGCATTATTCTTCTCCTTAACATGTCGCATGGTCAAATAATCTTCTTAATTTAGTTTTGTAGTCTATCTCCTTCACTTGAACATAGATTCATGAAAGCAGGAATGTGTGGCTCTTCACTACGGAATCCCTAGTGTCAATGAGAACTCAATAAATAGATGCTGGATTAGCAAGAAATTCTATTCTAGCTACCATCAGTATTATGATCTCCTACTTACAAAATCTCTGCACAATGCATATTAGCTCTCAAACAAATAGCCTTGACTCCAATTTGTTATGAAAATTATTTTCAAGTTTCAATGACTGAGTAGGGGCTTGGGATATAGATTACTATACAAATGCTTGCCTAGCATACTCGAGGCAGCTATCTGGGTTCAATCTCCAATACGAGAAAAAGAATGTTAAAATGTAATAATTATTATAAACAATGAAACAACTGTCACTGTCACCAAATTGTATTGGAGAACCAGCTGGCAAATAAGCAGGCCTGAGTCAGGGTAACAACATTCCTGCAAGGAGTGCACACATCCAGGGAATGCACACATCCCAGCAAGCAGTAAGTGCTGCTCAAACACTGGTGAATGCTGCACACTTATACACACTTCTGTTTTTAGGAGTAGGCAGATGCTGCTGGAATTCACAAACACAAGCTTGTTATCAAAGTTACAATAGCATTTAATAATTTTGTATTTAATCAAACAATGAATACTAGCATTACTAGTGATGAGATCTCACAAAATTTTTGTTTAAGCTACAGAAAAGACCTCCTGTTTGAGAAGAGTAGGAAGCAATACTTGTCCACATGGTTGCAGTCTGTAAGACTTTTTCTAAAGTATGCTAGTCTTCATGGAACACTCTAAGCCTAAAAGCAACTTTCTGGAGTGAAGGGCAGTCCTCAGCTTAGACTGCAAGTTGAAGACCTCAACACTGGTAAGCAGCATATAAATTCAGCACAACTCAGAGAGATAAACAGGTGTGTGTCTTGGTCTCATGGATGTCACTTCCAAGCTCACTTGCAATTCCTCCATTAGCTGTATCTCTTTATGCACCAAACAAAAAGGAAGTTAAAGCTTAAATATTATCTAATATATGATGCTTTAAAATGCTTTGAGTTTTATTAAACCTTGACATCATGACTTTTTTGAGATCTTCTTGAAGGTGGCAAATTAAAGTATATAGGAATAATTTAACTATAAAAATTGAGTTTATTATTTTTAGTTCAATACCAATAGTTATTTAATAAAAAATGATGTAGAAGCATGGTGAAGGTAAGAAATGGTTTGAAAATGCATGCATTAAATGGCTAAGACTGTAATGATAATAATCCTTGGGTATATTGGAGAAATGTTTAGTATAGTGTTAAATTTGAAATATCAGAACTTCCCAGATACTCTTACTTGCCTCACAAACACCAGTTGGTAAGAAAGTCAGAAGGTCTCCAAGATTTCTAGCCCAATAGGCAAAAAGTCACTTACTACTTTGACAAAGGGTTTTGGAGCAGAGTTCCTTCAAACCACAATTCCCCAATACCTAAGATCCAGGCCAGCCCAGGAAAGCAGAATAAGACATGCACTCAACCTCAAATATGGGGAGGTGGGAGGAGCACAGAATGCTAGTAGGCATCTTAACCCTATCTTTTCCAAACTCTGTTGTTATCACATTAGGAAAACTGAGATTTGACATAAACATTCCGGCTCTCACATATATTTGTAGTCAGAATCAGCAGAACTCCAACTTTAGGCTCCCAGACTAGGGCTTCCCTTTATACAGTTGCTTCTAATATGTACAGTAGACTTCTGAAAGTTTGTTTTGAGTTAGGGAATTCAAATGGGAACCTGGAGGCATGGTTAGTGACTAGCCCTTCAACCAAGCAACAAGACACTTGCAATATTTAAATTTAAGGATGACATCCAAATCAACAGAACTGCCAACTGTAACAAAATTTCAGAGACAACTTTACAGCTACTTTTGTCCTTCCTCTTTTTGCTACACAATTCATGTGGGCACCCTAAGATGCTAATTAACATACCAGAAGTTGGGCAGGTAATGATAACCTTGAGGGAAGCAAAATTTAAACAATCCTCACTATAGTTCAAATTGTATTTTGTGAGTCATAGTTAATTTTCTGAAGAATCTGGCTTTGATGCATCATCCTAGACAGATGCATTGAGCCAGTGAGCTGGTTCAGTCATTTGCATTTTCTGCTTCCTATAGCCATGGGTGCCCAAAAGATTTTTAGCAAACTAGTCTGACTCTCATGTATGCATTTTTCAAATATTTTAACTGTACCATTTAGCTCATTACATTTTTATTGTCTCAAATGTAAGTTGTAGTATAGCACTAAATCCCAAAATCAATTGGAAAAATTAGATGCAACTTCTGTTGCATGAAAGTGTCCAGAGACAAAGCATTTATCAGTTCTTGCAAAGGAAGCAGAGTTGGTATTAAATATCTAACTAGATTATATCATACAGACAATTTAAGAGAGAGAGAGATCCTCCAAGGAGTTTAAATCTCTTGATGCAACACACAATAGTCCTTTCAGCTACTTTCAAGTAGTATACTTAAAAGGGCATTAGTGAGGATTACATTTCACTTCCAGTCTACAGGGACTAAAATCCAAAGGCACTGCCAATTGCTGTTTCACTGTCCATTATGTTTAACTAGCAAAAAGGAAGACTGTGTGTCACCCAATGGCCCTGGAGTAGGAGATGTGAGTTCTAATTTATCTTGCCTTAGGAACAATTCCCATAACCTGCAAAGTACTTTGCCTGTAACTGACACTCAATGAGTATCAGTTGTGTAGAATTGCAGGAAAAAAGGTCTCCACTACGTGCCAACTTCTCTTATATTTAAAAGTTAAAGGTCTTTACACGAGAGTGAGTGAGAGAGAGATCCAATTATGTAAAATAATTTGATTGAAAAGAGCTAAATGTAGTTTGCCTCAATGAGCCAAAGGATCTTTAGAGGGTTTATCTTGAAAAAGCCTTTGCAGAATAAAGTATTTCCACTTGCCACATAGGAAAACCCAGCTCAAAGTGAGCAACTGATTGATAATCACAAAATTATTAAATTGAGAGGCCCAGATTCCAGGCCTGGAGAGCGCACACATGCGTGCGCACACACTTTCAAACACCTTAAAGCAGCCCGAGGACAGACTAGAACCAGGGTCTAAGTTTCCCTTCCACAGTATATTGTTCCCAGTGTCCAGGCAGAGCACTTATCTGCACGACCGGGGGTGGAGTGAGGTGACAGGAAATGAACCAGATTGGGTGTTGTTTTGTTGTTGGTGGTGGTGGTGGTTTTTGTTGCTGTCGTTGTTTGCGCTAGGTTTGGTTGGACGGTTATCAGAATCCTCTGGAACCCGAACTTTGCCAACACAGTCAGATATTTCCCTCCCTGGTTCTTTGAAATTACTTGTGAGCAGTGCCCTTGAGTATGGACGGAAAGCTTTACACCCCTCACGTGGATGGGAGCTGAGAACCAACGCCAGCTGCAAATTCCCTCCGGACAAGTTGAAGCTGAAGACCCGACCTGGCTGGAGGGGTGGGGGTGAAGTCGGATCCACGTTTCCCGGCCGGCGCTCCCCGTGGGGAGGAACGGATGCAAGGCTCCGGCATTTCTTGAGCGGCCTGCACGGGCTCGTGTGCGGTGGCTCGGAGCGGTGAGCTCCTCGGGGTTAGCCGCGGGCCCCCCCGCGGCCCCCGGCGGACGACCGCCGCGGCCGTCAGGAACCACTTCCTGGTCAGCCTCTCCCGCCCCGTCCACGCCCCCGCTGCGGCGTCTTCCCACCCGGGCGGCCCCGGGCTGCCCCGGCGGCCGCAGGGCCGTCCGGTTCTCTCCAGCGATTTAAATCACAACGCTCTGGAATCCCAACTCCCCCGGCGTCCCCGCCGGGTCTCCGGGCGTCGGACCCGGACGTCCCGGGCGACTGCAGGAAAGAGGCCCTGGGGCCTGGGGGAACCCCCGCCCGTCCCGCCGGCCACCCAGGTGCACCGCACCTCCAGGCGCCGCCTCCCGCCCGCCGGGGCTCCGCACCTGTCGTGCGGGCCCCCTCAGGACCTGCGCTCACCTCGTCCTTGGGGGGGCCCCCGGCCCGTCCCCCTCGCCTCTGGATCCCGCTCCCGCCGCCGTCTCCGCCGGGGCCCCCGCCTCAGCCACCGCCCACTTTCGGTTTCCCTCGCACCGCCGGAGCCGCCCCGCGGCCGGCCGGCTCGGGAAACACCTCTGGCCCCCGCGCCCCGCCCGGCTCGGCCCCGCCCCGCTCCGCTCCGGCCCCGCCCCCCCGCCGGCTCGGCTCAGCCCTCTGCGCACGCGCGGGCGCGTCGGACCCCACGCCGGCGTCCTCGCGTGGGAAGGAAAACCGACACCGCCTAGCGGTTTCTGCGCGTGCCCACGCCGGGGTCGCGGTGGACGCGGGCTTGCGGGGTGGATGCGGGCGCGCCTCCTCGGGGACAGCGCCAGGTAACGCGTGGGGCTCGGCTGGGACGGGGCTGGGGGGCAGGGGGCGTGGCGGCTCGGGGTTCACCCTGGCCGACAGTTCATTCCGTTCTCGCCCCTTCTTATCTTCCACATCCGGGACTGTAACTTCATTATTCTAGACATTCCCTCCCACCCCCAACCTGGCCCCCTCGGAACCCCAGGTGTCCGCAGGGCCTTTGCTCTGGTGTCATTCTTACCACCCCCCACCCCCAGGTGGGCCACACACTATAATGTAAGCCTGGCTTTCCCCATCCCCTCCTCTGCCTGTTACGGCTCCTCAACACCTATTTTCCACACCGTGCAAGGTATTTGGGGTTCCCTGTTCTCAGATAACGCCCAGAACATGACAACCTATTAAATAATCATTTGTCGAAGTTGTTCTAAAAGTATTGGGTGCCCAATTTTTATTCCCTTCTGCACAGTAATTCCTTTAAACACATGCTTTGCTTCAACCAATGTCCACCCCTCTCCGTGTCATTCTCTTAAGAGAGCTTGCTGCTTAACTCCAAACAGTGTGACTCACACACCACAAGCCGCATAGGTTTAAGATAATACAAAATTGAGTGAGTCTGACATGTACACAACTGTGAAACACACCATCACTGCAATAAAAAATAATATATTCATCACACCCAAAAGTTTTCTCATGCCCCTGTTGGAATCCTTACCTCCTGAGCTCCCCTGTTTCTTAGCCCCCAACTGCTCTTCTGCTGTTTCTATGGGTTTGATTGCAGCTTCTAGAAACTTACTATAAATGTAAATTTGGAGGGAAGGTCTGACTTCTTACACTCAGCATAATTCTATGCTGATTGAGATTCATCTATATCACTGCATACACCAGTAGATTATGTCTTTTCATTGCCGAGTAGTATTCCATTATATTCACATACCAAACCTACCATATGACCCTGCAGTTTCACACCCAGGTTTTTATCCAAGAAAAATGAAAATTTGAAAGACCCACGCAAGAATATTCATAGAAGCTTTGTTTGCCATATCCCCAAAATGAGATGCTGCAACTCTTCAGCAGGTGAATGGATAATTAAGCCAGTATTTTGAACATGTGCTGTTGAATAACAAAACTCTGGGGTGCTGATAAGACCCTGCTTAAAGAGCTTTCAGTTCCGTAAAAAGATGCAATAGGCAATGAATAGATTGGAAGTAGATCATGAAAATTCGCCTGCTCTCCCATGCTCAGGATTTGGGCTTTCTACTAAAGGCAATGAGGAACTGTTTGAACAGAGCTTTCTTTGAACACTGTTTCCTTTCATACTTTCACATCTGGTCCCTGACTAAATATGCCTAAATGGCTGAGTCTGAAACTGCATCTCCTCTGTTCTGTTTCAGAGTTATTTCAAACCTTTTCCTCCTTTCTGTACCTTACAATCCACTCTAAACTTTTCAGTGGCTATAATAGAACAAAAAATGCAGCCATCCTGCAATTTGGACTTTGCAGTGTTCATTATATCCTTGGTTCTACACTAAGATGAGAGAAATGAAAAAAAGTAGCTGAGGAACAGAGAGAATGAGAAATCAGTAAAAAAAAAAACCTCCAGAGTTTAATATGTAAATATATTATAAAAGGATTTGAAGTGACCTCAAGCCTGAGATCCATCGTTCTTCCAAAGGTGTTCCATATCTGGACTTGGCTATATACAAAGAAAAAATGCTATGCAGCTAGTTTTTTATGACTAGCTTTATTAATGAACAGTTTCCATAAAGCAGATATTTTAACTGTACCGTTCTTTGAGTTGCAACAAATGTCGTTCATCATGTACCTGTACCACATGCAAGATACAGAATGAATTCATCACTCCAAAAAGTTTCCCTTTGCTCTCATATCTCTACCTCCTGGTAACTCCTGGTGCGATTTCTTGTCCCATAGCTTTGCTTTTCTTGAATGTCATATAAATGGATTCTTCAATGTATAACCTTTTGTGTCTGTTTCTTTCAGTTGGCATAATGCACTTGAGAATCATCCCTGTTGTACCTATCAGTAGTCAGTTCGTTTTTATGAAGTGTAGTGTATGGCTGGATATGGCATTGTTTAAGTATTACCATTTAATGTGCATTTGTTTTGTTTCCAATTTGGGGATGTTAGGTATGAGTGCTTAACCACTTCCAGGCCCTTGTATGGTCAGATAATTTCCTCGTATACACCCTGGGGAATAGAGCTTGCAGGTTGTAGGGTAAGTGAACTGTGCAGAAACCTGTCAGACTTTTCTCAAGTAGCTGCATCATTTTGGACCCCACTCCTTCCACTACCACTTCTCTAAATTATGAGTTCTGGTTACTCCAACTACTTGGAATTGTTGGTCTTTTTAGTTTTAGCATTCCAGTGGATGAATAGGAATATACCATTGAGGCTTTGATTTGCATTTCTCTATTGCTAATGATATTGAGATCTGTTTTCATGTGTATATTGGCTTTTTATATATGTTATTAAGTAAAATGTCCATTCTATGGGTCAGTTTTCATCTGAGTCATGTCAGAAGATTTTTAGAAGTCCGTGGGTCTCTGACCTATAGGAAGTTGTGTTTAGCTTTTCTTTTTTTCCAAAATGACCCAAGGCCCAGACAGTTTAAGAATTTATCCATGTCCTAGATATAATTGGATTTCAGGAGAATTTAGGGGTATTAGAGATGACATAGATTGAATATTCCTTAGAGTAGTTGGTTATTCCTTAGACCCAATGGTTCTTAATCTTTTCTGGGAAAGGAGATCAGAATAGTGAAAGAAACATACAGAGAGAAATCTGGGGTGTGATTTCACAGAGGGTTAGGAGTCCTTACAGCCCTACTGTGAACCCACATTATAAACTGCCTCGGGGGACAACATATTTCTTGGGGACAAAGAGTAGAGTTTCAAAATGGACCAAACTCTAGTGGAGGACATTATCCCCAACCAAAGGCCAAACTTGTTCTTAGATCATGGGGAAGGAGTCTATAGCCCCAGGGTCTCTTTTAGGAAAGGAATGTAAACATTTGCCATCCCCAAGGCTGTGGGGAGGTTTTTGGTGTTCTGCTCTGGTAGGGGAGGTGGATAGGCATTAGGCATTAGCGTGGCAGGTCGCCTGTGCCTGTCTGGAGACTTCAACAGGTGTTTCTTGTGGGGGAGGAAGTGAAAATCAAGACCATGTATAAAGAAGGAAGAGGACTCTGCTTCCAGCTTATCCTGAGTGTAGAAAGATGGAAGTATTTCCATTGTAAACCCTTCACTGAAAGCCCTTCATGCATTTTTTTTGTATACATGGGAACCTGCTTGTTTGGGGAGAACCATGTTACATACAGACACCAACACATCTGTCCAAGGCAGCCAGGCCCAAAGCTAGTGGCGGGCTTGAGTCTGCCTCCTCTCTTTTCTAGCACCACCTCAGCAGGCCCCATTTAGTGTGAAGGGAAGACATCAACTGTATTTCAGGAGCTTATCTGAAGCAAGCTTTTTTTTTTCTCATCTCATTTTGGGATTTGCAATAGCCTAAGAAAGTTCTGTTCTTCTTCCTCTCTGTCAGAGCCTCAGAACTTAACAGCTATCAGGAAGTGTTGCAAACATCCCTTCCAAAATCTAGAGTGGCCATTTGAGAGATCTCTATTGTGGGCATCTTACTTCTATTATTTTTTTAATATTGTCTCTTAAAAGAAAACACAAACCAAAACCCACTCATTTCCATCATTTCCTATGCTATCAAATGAACCACAAGGTCTTAGCTTTGTCATTATTCAGTGTCTTGAGTAATTCCCCTCTCAGGACACCTTTCTGGAAGCCTTCACCTCAGATGATTGCTCCTTTAGTTGAGCTTCCAGACCACTCTGTTTGTCTTGCAGATACATTTTAGTGTTTCTCGCTGAACAACTTGAGAAGAGATCTCATTTTATTCATCTTCTACATTATTTCATTGCAAAGAGTTTTAGAAGCATCCCTTTCTGATGCTCTTACATATTCAAAGTTGTTGTGCATACAAGATGAAAACCAGCCTCATAAACTTTTTGCTTACATAAGGTAAGGAAGAATAGATTCCTGGAAAAAAGGAATCTTTAGATAGATCTACTTGTGATTTATAATAAACATAATCATTCCCTCTTCTATCAGCTATTGCCTATTAGATGAATGCAGAGAAGTTTCTAGCAACTGCATTTGTTTTAACTGAGTAAGGGGAAAAAAACATAAAACCAAAGGGAGGGATTGCCAGAGCCTGCTTAAATCCAGGCCCTTGTCAAACTATGGATGTGCTGATCAAGCAAAACCCCTTAAGCTGCCCACAAAGGCCTCCAAGGTGAGTCAGCTAAAAGGGCCTAATCCCCAGCAGGACTGATCACCGAAGCTTTAGAGGCCACACTGCCATGCAACAGTGGGAAACAGGATAATGAAGGCTTACTGCGATGTTGTGTAGAGAAGGGTCACACAACTATCAGGATAGGGGCTATGCTGTCTAAGAGATCCTCTTGGCCCTCCTAAGAGTTGTGGGCATTCACACAGCTCTGCCTTAGATAAGACTCCAAAATAAGAATGATTCTAAGGGTATTAAGAATTGTCAGGTTTCTTGGAGACCCAACTGTTAGGTGGGCCTTCAGATAGGGACTGTTACTTTAATCAAGACATTCAACCACAGTGCTACTAGTTCTGTAATAGTAAACCTACTAGTAGAAGAATTATATTACAGTGCTGTCTGGGAACAAG